AGACTTCCTCTCTCTCTCTCTCTCTCTTTTTTAAGGTTGCTTGTTATGTTGGGAATAGATAGGTTTCTTATTGGGTTTTTCCCCCTCTCTTTTTAAAAATGGCCACTCTCCTCCCACTAGCATTAAACCCAGGTTGCCTTAGACAGCTTGGACTGGCTTACATGGTTACAGGAAAATTTCCTGACCCTTTTAGGCCCCAAAGTCTCCTCCAAGCAGTTCCCAACAGAATTATTGGATTCCAAAGCCAAAAGGGACCACATCTGGCAGGCCCCAGCTGGACACGGTGGTGTGTGGGGGTGTATGGGGCAGGAGGCATGTGGGGTTGCGGGTATGTAGGGGAAGATGGGGGTATGTGGTGTGGGGCGAATAAGTGTATGTAGGAGAGATTGGGGGTGGGGTGTATAGCTGTTGGTGTATATGAGGCGTGGGGTGGGATGTGTATGGGTTGTTACGCGGGAGGGGATTATAGAGAAGGGGGTGGGGGTGGGACGTGGGGTGGGACGGGCTGTGGGACGGGGCGGGTCTCCCGAGTCACTTGTGCATTGGTTCGGTCACTGGGGAGACCGTTGCCGGGAAACGCGGTGTCAGAAGCCCCGCGGGTTGTGCTGCTGCAGGTATCGGCGGGGGAGGGGGCGGGATCTGGGTCCCTTGTTCGGCTCCGTGGACCTGGAGTCAGGAAGCCCCTAGAGCTCCCCTCCGGCTCACGCCTCCCGAACCTCAGGTACTCCCCGCCCCCTAGAGCCCCATTTCCCGGTATCCTCGGCTCGGCTCGCCCCCCCCCCCGTCCCCTAGAGCCTCCCCCCAGGTACCCCGGGCCCCCCGCCCCCTAGAGCCCTCTGTTAACCCGGTCCTCCCACACTTAGAGCCTCTCTTCCCCCCTCCCCCCCGAGTTCCCTGGTAACCCGGCCACCCTGCCCCCTGGAGCTCCCCCGCCCCTGAGTCCCCTGGTAACTTGCTCCCTAGAGCTCCCAACCCCAAATATCCCCTGCCACCGAGAAGTTAGAAACCCCTGGTAACCTGCCCCCCCAATCCCCTAGAGCTCTCCTCACATCCCCTAGAGGCCTCCTCCCAGGTATCCCTGGCTTAACCCCCTGCCCCCTAGAGTCCCCTGGTAACCCAGCCCCCTGCCCCTTAGAGCCCTCCTTCCTGGCTTGGCGCCCCACCCCTTACTGACCCAGCCCCCCCTGCCCTCTAGAGCCCCCCCCCCAACACCAGGTACCCCTGCCTCCTAGAGCCCCCTTCCTGGTATTCCCAGCTGAGACCCCCCCACCCCAGGTCCCCCATTCCCTAGTAACCCACCCCCCACCTCCTAGAGCCCCCCCAGACCCGGTCCCTCCACCCCCTAGAGTCCTCTGGTAACCCGGCCACCTGCTCCCGAGAACCGCCCAGACCCAGCCTCTTGCCCCCTAGTACCTCCAGCCCTGGTACCCCATCCCCTAGACCCCACTGATAACCCACACCCCCTAGATCCCCCAACTCTCATATCCCTGGCCTGGCCCCTGCCCCCTAGAGCCATCTTGGCCCTGGTACCTCAGCCCCTCTGCCCCTAGAGCCCTCAGTAACCTGGCCCCCCAGCCCTGGTATGCCCAGCTCCCTCTGCTCCCTAGAGTCCCCCCCCACAGCCCAGGTACCAGGCCCCCAGCCAGGTATCCCTGGACCCCCCTGGGCTCCCTCGAGCTCCCTCTGCCCCAGTACCCCAGCCCCTCCTGCTCCCTAGAGTCCCCCACCCCTGGAAGTCCTGGTCCTCTCTCCTCTCATGGTCCACAGTCCTCGCTGCTACCCCTAGCCCCCTCTCCCCCTAGCCCTGATGCCCCCTGGCCTTCCCAAGGCCTGGTCACCCCTCCCCTCTCCACTGTGCTTGCTAGGATGTGGGCAGCCCTGCGCCCTTACTCCCCCCCACTGCATTAGATAGGATGGGGAGGCCTGTACCCTCGCCCCAACCCCCGCATTAGGATGGGGGGCCCTGTGACCTCGCCGTCGCCCGCACCACTTTGTTAAGAACTAACAGAAAGTGACAAGCGAGGAGCCTTTCCTTCCTTCCCACCCAGACAGTCACACCTACGGCCACTGCACACCCCTGCTGATTGCACTCTGTGCCAACACGAGCTCAGGTCGGTTCAATGAGACCTTAGTGGCTGGGTGAGTGGGACAAGTGCTGCCCCAATGTAAAACAAGTAAATTCGGGGTTCCATCATAGATGGGGCGATCCCTCAGGATGAGGACACACACTGCATGTGTAGTCTGAGCTGCGTCCTTTTGTCAGTGCTATCCAGTCTTGATCTGGGAGCAGGGTGCTCCGTCACTTGGTGCCATCTCTCTACTTTCTCCCAGGGCCAGGCACAGTTTTTCTCCTTACTCGCTGATGAGGTAGACTGGGTGGTTCCTGATGGTTTGAGGAAATATTTTTCATGCACTTGGTGGTATTTGGGACATTGGAGTAGAACATGTTTCTCTGTCTCAATCTCTGCTCTGTCCCCTTGACTGCAAAGTTGCTGCTCTCTGCTTTGGACTTCCCAGTCTCACCTCCAGCATGTGGTCACTGATTCTGTACCTAAGAGCGAAAGTTGGCTGTCATTTTGCACAAGGTCACCCGCGAGGTCTCTGCTCGTGAGAGTTCTGTACAGGGAGCTGTCCCAGTCCCCTTTGTTGCTGATTTGATCTGTTCTTTCCCGTGCCTCATAGATTGGTGTTGCAGGGGCTGGGCTGACACCTTGAGCTCCTCTGCTGGTTGGAGGTGGGAGCTGTTGAGCACGGAGCAATGATGTGTGAGGATGGATATTTTCATTTGGATTTAGTTTTTGACTCTTTTACTTTGTGCAGATTGGAGCATTTGCTACTTTGATTGAGGTGGCACCAGAAGTTGAATGTGCTTGTCTTTATGTTGATGAGCAGGGGGAGCCTGCCCAGTGGGGCTCAGTAGCCACAGAGGACTTGCAGACCTACAGAGGCAGGGCTTCTGCTGGGGTTTTATTCCAGTGACCCTAGAGCAGGGGTTCTCAAACTTCATTGCACTGTGACCCCCTTCTGACAACAAAAATTACTTCACAACCCCAGGAGGGGAGACCAAAGTCTGAGTCCGCCTAAGCCCCACTTCCCTGGGTGGAGGGCCAAAGTCCGAGACCCACCGCTCCAGGCAGGAGGGCCAAAGCTGAAACTCATGGGTTTCAGCCCCAGGCAGGGGGCCTGAAACTTGAGTCCTGCCACCCAGGGCTGAAGCCCTCGGGCTTTGGCTTTGGCCCTGCGTAGTGGGGCTCAGGCTTCAGCCCCGGGCCCCAGCAAGTCTAAGCCAGCCCTGGTTACCCCATTCAAAGGGGGTCGGGACCCACAGTTTGAGAACCACTGCCATAGGGTGTGGTTGAAGTCAGGCCCTAGAGTTCACTCCCATGTAGTAGAATGGGTTGGATTCTGATGCCAGATATGTAATAAAATGTTACTCTGTTTTGGTTGCTTCTGGGCTGTTCCTGAAATGTCCTGATGTTTGTTCCAAGCAGCAGGTTTCTAGAAAGTGTCAGTTTCTCCATAGACCAGTGTAGGTGCCAGTGTGATCAGTCATCAGCACCCAGCAGGCACTTGATCTCTGAGTTATTTTGTAGGAGACTCAGATTCTGGGGACGGTTCCAGTGGGGCTGGTGAGCCAGATTGAAGAAGGCCATGCTGTTACATTCCTTTCTTACTCCCCATTCTTGCTTAAAGGTCTCCTTTCCTGTTTATTTTTATCCTGTATTTGATGGACTGGTACATGGATTTAATGAGGCCAAATGTTTTCCCTTCAATTTTAATGTTGCAGCAATTTAAATTTCAGTCCTGGGTGCCAGATTGTCACACTGTTTTGAAATCTATGAATCAGGCAAATATTGCTCTGCTTTTTGTTGTTCATATATTTGTAAATGAGAACCTGTTAGGTAAAGATGTGGTTGGCAATTCATTTATTGGGGAGAAAAACAATTTGGCTCTCACAGATTGTGTTATGGCTGTTAGGTACAAACACACCAAGTTCCTCAAACTCTCCCTCTGACACACAGCCTATTGCCAAGCACATAAGTGTGCACAAGGCCCCTCATTTCCCACAGCTGTGCATGTATCTCGGCTGGTCATATGTGGTAGGGCTGCTCACCAGAGATTCAAACATTCTAAAGCCATGTTTCCACTTACAAGCTTACAGCAGCACAACTGTACCGATACAGCTGGACCACTGTAAGATCGCTCGTGTAGTCACGTTATCCCGACGGGAAAGAGCTCTCCCGTCGACATAATAAAACCAGCTCAATGAACTGTGGTAGCTGTGTCACCGGGAGAGCGTCTCTTGCCAACATAGTGCTGTGCAGGCGAGGGCTTATGCCGGCAAAACTTAAGTCACTCAGGGCAGGGCTGGCTCCGCCTTTTTGCCACCCCAAGCGGTGAAGCGGGGAAAAAAAAAAAAGATAAAGCCAATCGGTGGCACTTCGGAGGCAACTCAATCACGCTGCTTCATTCTTCGGTGGAAATTTGGCGGCGGGTCCTTCACTCCCTCTCTTTCTCTTCGGCGGCACTTCGGCGGCAGCTCAAAGAGGAAGAGAGGGACTGAGGGACCCACTGCCAAATTGCTGCCAAAGACCCGGACGTGCCACCCCTTTCAATTAGCTGCCCCAAGCACCTGCTTCCTTCGCTGGTGCCTGGAGCCGGCCCTGACTCAGAGGGTGTTTTTTCACACCCCTGAGCAACAAATGTTTTGCAGACATAAGTGCTAGTGTACACATGGCCTAAGGCCAGAAGGGACCATTGTGATCATCTAGATTGACCTCAAGTACAGCACAGACCAAAGAGCTTTCCTACACTAATTCCTAGAGCAGATCTTTTAGAAAAACACCCAATCTTGATGTAAACATTGCCAGTGATGGAGAATCCACCATCCTTGGTAAGTTGTTCCAATGGTTAATTGCTCTCACTATTAAAAATTTACACCTTATTTCCAACAGAGGGTCCTGTGGCACCTTTGAGACTAACAGAAGTATTGGGAGCATAAGCTTTCGTGGGTAAGAACTTCACTTCTTCAGATGCAAGTAATGGAAATCTTCAGAGGCAGGTATAAACCAATATGGAGATAACGAGGTTAGTTCAATCAGGGAGGGTGAGGTGCTCTGCTAGCAGTTGAGGTGTGAACACCAAGGAAGGAGAAACTGCTTCTGTAGTTGGATAGCCATTCACAGTCTTTGTTTAATCCTGATCTGATGTCTTTGTCAAATTGGCAAATGAACTGTAGCTCAGCAGTTTCTCT